TCACCTTCTGGGATGCCAATTATTCTGATATTTGGGCGTGTTATGGAATCTAATATTTCCTGTGTATTATCCTCGTGATTTTTTGTTATTTTCTCTATCTTTTTGGTGGTTCTTTCTAGGTCAGAGGTTTTATCTTCTACATCAGAGATTCGATCTTCAGCATGATCTAGTCGACTTTTAATACTTTCAAGGGAGTTTCTGATTTCCTCTATTCCAGACTTTATCTCTAATAGCTGCATCAGGTTCTTTCTCAGAGTGTCCATTTCTTCTTTCATATCTTGGAATAACTTTCTCATCTCCTGTAGTTCGTTGTCTCTTTTCTGTTCCAACTCAAAGAATTTGTTCACCATAAATGTTCGAAATTCTTTGACATTTTGGTAACATCATCCATTAGCACAGAAGATGGAGGGGAGTTGCTCTGTACCTTTGATGGAGATGTATTTCCTTGTTTATTCATACCAGAGGCACTTCTTCTACTTGTAGCCATTGAAAGATGTACTAACTTTTAAGTACCTGTTAGGTGAATGTTTCACTGGCTAGGAGTGTGTTTCCCTTTTGATGGAAATTGACATCTGTCGAAGTTTCTGTTCTGTTGTTTTTAGTAATGTGGTCTCAAAAAAGATAGTATAGTCAGGTATCTGAAGAGAAAGATCTCCTTTTTCACAACTGGTTCCGTATAAGGGAGGAACCAATATGAATTTATATGACTAGAAAATTTTAGATCTCTAATTCTAGGCCTAGCTAGTCCCTTTGGCAAGATGGAAGAAGAAGAGAAGAAAACACAATAGAAAAGAAAGGAGGAGAGAAAGGAATGAAGGAAAAGTTGCGCGCTGTGCGCTGTGCGTGGCTTGCATTTTCACCAGGTGCCTTCAGATGTAAGAGGCTGCTGCTGGGTACTGCAGCCAAAGGAGCAGTCTGTGGAGAGAGGAAGGGGCAGAAATTTACAAATGAATGGGGGACAGTAAAGGAGAAGAAAAAAATGTGGAGGAACTTTCTACCTGCCTAGGGGTCTGGGTGGATCCTGGGCTGGGGGATCTGGATGGAGTCCGTGGGGGCAGTGTGCCCCCTTGCTTGCCGGGTGCCTTCAGATGTATCAGGCTGCTGCTGGCTACTGCAGCCAAAGGTGCAGTCTGCCTAGGGGTCTGGGTGGATCCTGGATTGGGGGATCTAGATGGGAGTCCATGGGGGCAGTGTGCCCCCTTGCTCGCTAGGTGCCTTCAGATGTACCAGGCTGTTGCTGGCTACTGCAGCCAAAGGCCCAGTGAGTTAGATTTTTAAGGATTTATTTTTTTGAGTCACGTGCCTTGAGTCTTTAGCTATTCACTTCCCTGGAAGAAGCCATAGTCTCTTTAAATACTGTATCTATAGAGAAAAATTTTTTTTAGGAGAGAGAGATTTTTGCTATAGGGCACATGTGCTCACTAGAGAGACAGAAAGTGAGAAATCACTCCCCCTCCCGGGGGGGGATGGCCATGGCGCAAACCCTTCTCCTCCATTCTCCTCTTAGGGTTTTGGGCACACATGCACACGTGCCCAGCATGAGTTTAAGCTTCTGGGTCCAGGACTTGAGCCATGGTTGACTATATGGGAGTCCAGAGACCATTATGCCATCTGGTGGTCCTACAAATTGTTTCTTTATTTTTAAATTTACTTTTTAATCTAATCAATATAGTAATGAATGAAAGATTGGGAGTCACAAAGCTGGGATTTAGGTATCTAGTCTACTACTCACAAGCAAACAACTTCATTAGTTTTTTCTGTGAAATGGGGATCACAGTTATTAGCTTTACAAAAAATATTTTGAGAAGCAGAAGAGAAAATAATGAGAACACAGTTCCTAGAAAGACATAGAGAAATGCTGTTTTTGGTAAGACTGACAACTTTGGAATAATTTATAAAAGCTTATAACTGAGATAACCTTCAGAATTAATGTCTGAGTCAAACTTTGCTTGGATTAAGTTTTGCAGAGACTCTTAATGAGTGTAGTAACATTTTATCCTATTTGTCTTTATATTTTTCTTTTTTATAATTATTTAATTAAAAAATTATTATTATTTAAATTTTGCCATAGGGCACGTGTGCTCACCAGATAGACAGAGAAAGAGAGAAAGTGAGAAAGCAAGCCTCCAGGACTTGAACCACAGTCAGACATGTGGGAGTCCAGTGCCTGAAACATCATGTCACCTGTTGGCTTCTGTTTTTATATTTTTCTGATGGGACCAGTGTCTCCTAGGATGACAGTTCTGTCAGGCTGGCAGCAGTATCAATATATGAATTAGCCTTTCTGTGTATATAACAGTAATAGAATTTAACATTCGGGGTAGACTAGAAATGGAGCTGAAAAGTACCCTTTGCCCTTTCAGCTTAAGGCTGAGGTGGAAAGCAAAGAAAAGAAATGAAAGTTTTCCTGATACCTTTTAATCCTCTCCTTGGCTGAATCTGCACCTCATCTTTCTCTAGTCCTGACCCTCAGAGATGTAACAGCACTGAAAGGTGCAATGGGATGGCACTACTGAAGAGCATCTGTTATATAAAAACTTTGATGTTCTTTCTTCCAGGTTAAGGTAATCATTGAGAAAAGTGATGAATTTGATATTCTGATGACTTTGAATGAAATAAATGCCACAGGATACCAGCAGACCGTTCTGGTTCCCAGTGAGGATGGGGCAACTGTTCATTTTCCGGTCAAGCCAATGCATCTGGGAGGAATTCCTATCA